TCAGTGCAAATTAACAAAATATCTGACTTCCTTTGGAAGGATGTCCATATATGGAATTCGATATTTTTTTATGACTTTAGCAGCCATGCATTGCAAAGTTATGTGACTCAGTGGGTTGGCCAAGATGCCGTTTTGTCGAAGGAATCCTAAGGGACAGTAACCACAGCTGTTTGTAAGGTCTACGTGGCATCCGTGGTCGAGAAGGCATTTCAGCATATCAGGTTGATGATCTGTCAAGAAGCGATGAATAGCGTAATGGACAGCTGTGTTGCCCCACTCATCTTGCCAATCGATGTTTGCGCCGCACTTAAGTAGTTTGCTCAGCACGTTTTGGGACAGGTTCAAGCGGATAGTTAAGTGGAGTAAGCCGACCTTGCCAGGCCCGTGAGGACTACGTCGGATCAAATTGTACAGCGTCACGTTCAGGCGGTCATGTTGTTCTTCAGTGAGGGGAAATGATAAAACATAACCGAGCTGTGATAGAATCTCGATCAGGTAGAGCTCAACGTCGGGCATTTTGTTTTGCCGGTCGGTCGGGCTGAGAGAATCGACGAAATCCATTCCGACATTGCTGACGTAGCGGGTGATAGAACAAACAAGATTGTGCGCGTGTTGGATGTCGTAGTTATCGATCTCTATCAGTGAAATTGCCATGGCTCTTAGCATGCTGACCGTCAAGTAGAGGCCGACGGGAAGCGGATCGAGATGCGTGGCATAGAAAAGAAAGAGGCATTCGAGCAGTACCATCCCGGGATCGAATTCAGCACGGTTAATATGACTGAAAATCTTTTCGGTAAAAGAGTTGCTTGTACCGGGATGTTTCGGTCCGAGAACTCGTAATTGGATTAATAACGCCTGCGTCCACATTGACTCAAGACTGACCGATATTTTGTTCAAGTCTTCAATTGTTTGGAATTCTACACCGAGTGGGATTTCCACAGATGGATGATCTCGATGTTCTGGAACTGTTTTTGGAAATAGATTGGCAGGGTCCTGGTTACGTATTTGCAAAGCTTTCTCCCAGTAGAATTTGGTTTGGCCGAGATCATCCATTAGAAGTTTGCTTCCCAAAAGTTCATAGGCGTTTGCTTTGGATTCTGTTGAGTAACAGTTTGTTCCCAGAAGATATTCAACTAAAGCTGGCTTGCATTCAATTGCACTAAGTTCAAGAGGAGTGTTTCCTTTAGGGCCGATACGGAGAATATCAACTCCACTTTTTATAAGAATCTTCACAGATTCAATCTTCCCCTTACGTATCGCAAAATGTAGCGCATCTTTGCCTTTGTTGTCTGTCTGGTTCACGTTCGCGCCTAATTTAATCAACAATTGGCAGAGCCGGGACGAGTGCACCGAATAGATAAGGCACGTCCGGCCCTTACAGTCAGGAACCTGTATATCGGCACCGTGTTGCACCAGGTAGCGCACAAGCTTCACGCTGTGGCAGCCAATGCTGACGGCGCTTCTTTGTGAGCTGCTTTGTGTATTCACGTCGGCGCCATGCTCCAGTAAAGTGGCAACGACATGGAAAAAATTTCGTGAAGCCGCCACCCACAACGAAGTACACTTGACCATTTCCCAATATCCAGTTTGCTCGACATTCGCTCCGCATTCGTCGAGCAGATAATTAACTAATTTTAGGTTACCGACCAGCGTCGCTTCAAATAAAAGAGGCCTTCCGTTTACTTTGAGGAGCACAATCTTCTGTCGGTATTTTAGGTTATAACTATTCAAAACGCTCTTCACCCTTCGGGTCTGGTTCTTTATTGTCAAGTCATTGAGAAACTGGGCCACTTTTCGTCTCCCTTTCAGCGTACAGATGTTGCTTTTCACTTCAGCTAGAGTTCAACGAAAGAAACGAAAGAAGATTATATTATATAGTGAAGTACAAGGTAAACGTTCTATTCAAAATTTAATGTCCAGTCTATTAACTGGCTCTAATCATATATTGTATGTAATCTTCAAGAGCGTTATTGATATATAAAAAAAATCACTTATTACTTATAACAAAATAGTATATTGCATTCTTCTGAGGATCAAACTCATTATATAAATAATAATATGCAAAATCCATCAGTAAATATTTGCACAGAGTAGATTCCTGTCAGTTACTTGTATTCCCAGATACCATGAATGTCTGGAAATGCAGTCATTGCATTTCTGTTGCTGAGCATTTAGAAAACGGCAACCAACGTATTTTGACCGCTGAAAAGGCGTTAATAATAATTAATGTTATACATGGATTTAAAAAAATAATCTAATTCAGTATATAATATCCTATAGGGACAGTTTGGTCCCCAAAGAAATCAAGAATATCTGTAAAGTGTAAACAAGTACATATTTGAAAGAATTAATAATAAACATTCTGTTGTCAACCAATATAAATTTGGAATAAAATTTATCCGAAGTATAGATATTTGTCTTTAGAACTTGAAGTAAACAAAATATAAAACGGTTCATTTCATTGAGTAACTCCCACCATTATTTTAAACATGGCAATAATATATCAACAGAGCCTCGTCTAGGGATCCTCTCTGTCCGTAGCGGAGTGTTTGACCAGCATAACTCGAGACGAATCTCCAACTGAAGACCAACATACAGTATTTACTACTGTATTTATGTGACTGGGGAGATATCCATTACCATCCTTAGATATGCTACAGCAATAATATAAATAAAAAAAGTCAATCTGTTTTCTGGGTAAACTGTATTACCTTCGTTGAAAACCGTGCAATGTTTGTATTTAGGATCAACTAAACCTCTTTGGGGAATACGCGTGTCGAGTAACATTTATAGGTTGAAATCGTAGATCGGCAAGTCTAGTTCAAAACCCTGTCTTTTCAACTGCATTAATTTTCGAACTAATACCTCCCATTTCCTCCATGTATGTGTTAATTGGCAGTATAGATTGGGTCCTCTAACCTTATTTGACATCCCGTCTAAGAGAATGATTATTTTTATAACAAAAAGCCGAGGAGAAGGCAACTGAAAACACCCATCATTATATTTCCCAAGAAATCATATTAATTTTTTTAAATAAAAAATGAATATATAGCGAGACATGGACGCCTATATAGTGAAATGATATGGCATATCAAAAGCTTGAATTGCCTTAATATTAAACTGAAACTATGGATTTTCTGACAAATACAATCGTATCCTTTTTTGACGGATCAAAATGTGGTATCAGGTTTCTAGAGAGAAATTTGAAAATTAATGACGTCACCTCTAGTGTCCCGTCTTCGTGTGGAAAGAGGAAGAATTCAAAAAATAGCATGTATCTCCGACTTATAAATTCATGCATTAATAACTCTCATTTATCCCATATAAAAGTGTGTTGAGCAAGAACTATTTTCGTATGAGTTAATACGAAAAAAAAATCACTAATGGATAAAATCAAATTGTAATTATGAATGACTGGTAAACCTTGTCTCGTTTTCAACCGAGACAGTGTAGATTTTCAATGATGCGGTCGGGTTTTTTTGAGATTTCCTATCGGAGATTCTAAGAAAGTGTTTCTCATTGTCGGAGTCCTGGGATAATTTAATAGTTATCGGCGCCGAAAGTGTATTGCGTGAGTTGAGTTTCAATTCTGGTTGATTCTGTTTGTTCACTTTGCGCTAATGGCATTGGAAATGTCATGTCTCTACTTTCTACGAGCTATAGTTTAAGCAGTAGGCTAAAATAGGCACTGTTGCCTTGGGATGGCGACATGCCTAGATGAAATAAAGCTCTGAATTTAAAACCATCTTGAAAATAGATGGGCTTCGTGAGGTTATCATGTCCTTTATTCACCACTACTGATACGGTTGCAATGTATCTGGAGATCGTTGACGTTATTAGATTAAGGAAATAAATGTGACGTTTCCATTATACAAATCGATCTAATGTCAGTGGGTAAACTGTAAACTTTGTGAAAATACCCACAGACACTGAGCAATTTTGTCGCTGACTAAATATTAATATTTTTCGAGGCAGGACAAGTGTTTTGATCTCGATATATGATGGCTTGATAAATTGGTTTGATGAATAAATAATTTAACGATGTTATCACTTGGGTTTAATTTGAGTATATGATTTGATCAAGTGCGTTCCTGTAACCTAAACATGGGTTTAGAAATTTCGAAAATGTTTGAAATTTTGGTAGAAAGCTTTCCGTATGCCACTGGTCTTCCGTGGCAGATTAACGACACAAGGAGTTAAATTCAAACAATAATAATAACAATTGATTGAGTGGTTATTTTTCCTACCTATGAACTCTTTGCAGTTTATTTAAAGCCAGAATTTTTTTTTTTGATTTTAAGATTGGTTTCGTTTTCTAGATAATAATGATTTAGCGATATAAGTTTTATTAATTACCTCACAGCTGAAGGGAGAAGAGGTGACTTCCTTTCGCATGGGGTTTTGTCCGGAAGTGAATACGACGAACCTAAGTGGAACTGGAACTCGGATCTCTTATTAACAATTCCGAGTCTTATCCATTACACCAGCCGCACATACAAGCTTACATTATCTGAATTTCCAAGCGATCACTCATCTAGGTACTAGCCAGACTTGACGTTGCTTAACTTCGGTGACCACACGGGAACCGACGTTTCTCTTAACAAGGAGGAAGAAACAACATTCTGCTTGTAGATTGCTTAAAAACTATAGTACGTTTTGCAAGAAAAACGAGAAAAAATTAGCCATTATAGAGTTTATGAAAGTGTATTGAAATAAGTTACATATACACTTAGTCGTATGTTGGAAAAACCTTTTTCTAGATTCATTCGTACTTGAATTATTGGGTCATAATGAACACATGTTATAGTTACTTTGCTTCATAATCCAACATGAATCAGTAATTATTGGGCTGTAGTTATTTCTGTCTATGTTAATATTTTTTCTACAGTCGATAAGAAATAATTCCAAATTTATAACGAGTCTTCTATATAAACGGTAAGTATAAAAATTCGTGAGAGTTTTATAAATATTCACAAAACATGAATTTCAGTAAAATAGCTTTCTGATTTAAGGCATCTAAAGATTAGTTATTTTATAGTAAATTTACGCCAATTCAAGGCTCAAGAGTCACTAAGAAAAAAAATTACTCCTAAATGCTTAGGATCGATGGGTCGTGTGCTTTGAATAAAACAGGAGCTGCTAAGAATCAATGATTTTGAAGATATGGCGGATAGACAGGAATTGACCTTTGGCCTGAATAGGTTATAATTGTAGTGTTCACGAAAGCATCTCCACGGGAGAGTGTTCTAAATAAAAGTTTATTTTGGAATACGGATAAAATGAAGACGGTTCGGCTCCTTGGAAGTAGGGTGGATTTTAAGATCTGAACTAATCCAAATAAAAATGGAGCAGCAAATATTAAATATTTCGAGCAAGAAGTATATGTAGGTTTGGATAGAAGATACATTTCTTGAATGCCGAAAGATATTAGTATTAAAATTTGTGGGTTCTGTTAGGGGTATATTAAGTTCTTTTGAGAGATATTTTGGGGACAATCGCTAGATTTAGAGTTAACCGAGAATATTTGTAAATTTATGTAACAACGGGTAATATATTTTCTAACAAAATCGATTTGTAAAATGCCTTCCAGTCTTTTTTGATATTCCCTAGAAACTATTTGCGAAAATGCTTATATTACAGAAAGAACTGAATGCTTGTATTGTTAGTTTATGAAGTATTTATCTCTTGGCAATTTAGATTACAATTTTTGTTCACATATATCCGCCACATCGATTTCTAAGTTATGGATGTAAGATTAATGAAATTTGTTTCGCCCATATATTGCCTGTATATTGCGTCTGGATACTGGAATTGTCACTTATTTCCACCAGCGCTTGTGGTCGTTTTTAAAAAGCAGGGATATACCAGAAATTCGAATGCTCGTTTTCAAATCGAAGTTGCCTGTTTGACTTGCTGTACAGGTGACACGATCTTTTTTCAAAAATATATACTTTTATACTGATTTTTTTTTATACTCGTATCTTCTAAAATTTAGTAACACCTTACGTTTTAGTGGCTTTATTGTCCGGCTTGGAGTGAGATCATTAAAAAAAAAGACAGACATTTTCCTAGAAAGTAAATCTTTACAAACAAAAGCATTGACATAAAAAGAAAAACTAGTAAGAAAAAAATGGGAACAATTGGACGTAGACTTTTCTTTCCGGAAAGGCGCCATAGCCTTCACGGTAAAGAGTTAACTAGTGAAATATAAAGCGACAAAAAGTGAGAGAAAGAGAGAAGGCAGTAGACTGAAGCATTCACGTCCCAACGTAATGATTGCGATAAATTCACTTCGATCTTAAGTCATCAGAATGTCATTTTGATGTGGTCACATTAGTAGGACTAACGACGCGTGGTTGTTAGGATGTGATCAGGAGATAAGCAGGTGACCTGGGAAAGAAGTATTTAGTGTTTATTTTTTAATACCAAAATAAAATTTTGTACATGTTACATATTATATTACAATATTTTTCTATTGTTATTTAATTTAATTAAGTCAATTTAAACTCGTACTGTATTATGCTGGTTATTTTTTCATGCTATGTAAGGAATTAGGAGAACATGTTTCTGAA